CCCTCTCCTCCACCCGGCTCGGGCGGCCTGTGCCGGCCCCCAGCTCCCGGCTTGGGTCTCGGGCTGGGTGTCACGGGGACCCTTTGTGCCCGTTTAACACCCTGTCAAGGGGTGCTTGGGGCAGATCTGAGCCTTAGAGGCTCCCCCTCCGTCCCACTGACCTCTCCGTTGGTGGGGGGAGACCCAGCAAACGAGCGTCAGTCCTCCTTTGCCATTCCCTCCCCGTGGGATCAGTCCCGCACTATTTTGCATTTTCTTCTTTCTTTTTTCCTTTTTCCTACCAGATTTTTGGCGTCTTTGTCTTTCGAAGAGGGCAGTGTTCTTTCGGAGTTCGGCAGGTGCTCTGGTTGGCTGAGTGGGTCCGTAGATGTGAGTTTTGGTGTATTTGTGGGAGAGGTGAGCTATAAGCGTCCTTCTCCACCATCTTGCCTGTAACCCCTCGGTATTCTTATTACTGTCCCAAAGATCCCTTAGGCTCTGTTTATTTTACATCCTGTTTTTTTTTTTATTTTATTTTTGTTCATTTTCTCAAACTGGATAATCTCAATTGATCTGTCTTCAAGTTTGTTGTCTCTTATGCCCACTGACATGTGCTTTTGAAGACCCTCTAGTGGTTTTTTTTTTCTTTTAACTTTTATACTTTTCAACTCTGGAATTTTTGTTTTTTGTTTTTTTTAAATAATTTTTATCAATTTATTGACATTCTCAATTTGCTGAGACATCATTTCATGCCGTTCTTTAGCCATGATCTCCTTTAGTTCTTGAAACATATTTAAAATCACTTAGTTAAATTCTTTTGACTAGTAAGTCTAACATCTGTGTTTCCTCAGTGACGATTTCATGAATTGCTTTTTCCCTGTTTCTGAACAATGCCTGTCACTTTACATACCTCAGGACTTTTTTGTTGAAAACTGGACTTTAAACTGTATAATGTGGCAAATCTGAAAATGCCCGCTTGTTGTAGTTATAGTTGGTTGTTTAGTGACTTCTCTGATCTAATTCTTTAAAATCCTTAGCTTTGTCTAGTGTGGTCACTGAAATCTCTGCTTGGTTTACTGTGTAGTCAGCTGATGATAGAGCAGATTTTCTTTAATGCCTAGGACCAGTAAGTCTCTGTCTTTGCCAAGGAGGGCTGTGTGTGTCTTGGATCCCCCATCAACACGCGGGCAGGCAGTTTGCAGCTCTGCTTTGCCCTTCTCCTCCTCTTTGCACAGGGCCTCAAGGTCAGCCAGAGGTGAGAGCTTAGGGCCGTGTCAGTTCTTTCTTGGGCATGTGCACGGCCCCACGTGTGCACACGGCCCCACGTGTGCACACAGCCCCACAGCTATGTGTTTGTTGCCTCCTGGATTGCCAGAAACAGAGTTTTTCAGAGCCCCTAGGGATATTTCATTCTCCAGCATTTCCTTCAGGTTTTGGGGTAGCTCGTTGTTTGCCCTACCCAAAAGGATGTTACCATCATCTCAGTTAGCCAGGAAGCTGATCCATTGCCTCTGATTTTTTTCCAGAAACACCCTAAGAGAAAGGGCATTTGCACTGACAAGCTCCAATTCAGGTCACATAAGACAGTCTTGCAAATTGGACCAACCAGACAGGTCGCGTAACGATAATTCTCTGGTAAAGAGGGTTTGTAGTGGCTCCAGCCCCGCTGGCTGGTTTTCCCTGTGAGTGTGGACTGTTGGCTGATAAGCCTTCCAGGGAGTTGGAAGAATGGAAAACAGCAGTGCAAGTCAACACGCCACACAGTTTACTGTTCTCACTAAGATTCAGCCTATTTTCTTGAATAATTTTGCCAAATTGTTGAAAGCCTTCAGCTAATTTCTGGTGTTCCAAAAAAGTTCTGACTTTTTTTTTTTTTGGCCAGTTTTCGGTTGCTTTTATGAAAGAGGATTTTCAGAGGTCCTAACTCCCATATTTTTGCTGATGTCTTTGATTACTTTATCTTTTAATTCTCTTGAATTCTAGAATAATCCTTAACCTCTACCCCATCCTTATTTTTAAAACACTTACTCTGAAATAATTTAAGACTCAAAAGAAGTTGCAAAAATAGTACAGAAAGTTCCCATAATACGCTTTATCTAGCAGCCCCCAATGATTACATCTTACATACATCTAGTACATTTTCAAAATGAAAAAAATTGGCATTGGTATAATGCTGCTGAATTAACTGCAGACTTTATTAGAATGGCATCAGTTTTTAAAATGCATTTTTTTTCCTTTTTGCATATACTGCTTTGGAATTTTACCACATGACTAGATCTGTAACCACTATTATAATCAGACTCTGGAATTGTTTCATTACCACAAAGACATTCCCTCATGTTCTCTGTGTGTGTATGTGTGTGCGCGCGCGCACATACATATACATATATATGTACATACACACGTGGCTTATTTTCACTCAGCATAGTACTTTTGAGAGTCATCCAAGTGGTAGCCTCGTAGCAGTTTGTTCTTTTTTGGATGAGTAGTGTTGTGTCATGTGGATGTACCAGAATTTCTCTGTCTGCTTATTGAAGTCCACTGGGGTTGTTTCTAGTTCTGGGCTATTACAGAAAAAGCTGCTGTGAACGTTTGTGTACAGTGTTCTTGGTAGACACACATTTTCATTTCTTTAAGGTAGAAATCCTAAGAGTGCAGTTGCCAAATTAAGTTGCATGATATGTGTATTTTTTTTTGAATTGTATAAGAAACCTCCAAACTGTTTTCCTTTTTTTTTTTTTTTTATTAAGTAAAGGTAGATTTATTTAGAGAGAGAACATACTGCATAGAGTGTAGGCTGTTTCCAAAGGCAAGAGAAAGGCCACGACGTGTAGGGGTTGGGAGCTCAGGTTAGAGTAAAAGTAGATACACACTCCATAGACAGGGTGCGGGCCGTCTCCGAAGGGGAGGGAGTGAGAGAGGTGGCCAGGACTGTACCGTTTTAAATTCACACCTGCAACACATGAGACACTTTTGTTCTTCAGCCCTGCTAAGTTCACTGTTAGTGCTCGGAGGGCTTTTCGCAGCTACAGTTGCTACGCATCCTTCCTGCACTTGGTACCACAGGGAAAGGTGTTTTCACCATTCCGGCAGGTGTGTGGCTAGGGGTGGTCTGTCATCGGAGTGTTGCTTTGCTTGTCTCTAATGGCCAGTGGTGTTGAACATCTTTCTGCATGCTTAGTAGCCATCTGAATATTCTCTTTAGCAAAGTGTGTTATTCGTGTCTTGTACCCTAATTTTACAATGGGATTGTTTGTTTTCTTACTGTTTACAGAGTTCTTTATATCTCCTGAATATAATTCCTTTATTAGGTGTGTTTTGGTTGTTTTTTTTTAAACCCTCTTAACCATTTTTAAGTGTATGTTTCCGTGGTGTTCAGCATATTCACACTGTGGTGCATTTGATCTCCAGATCGTTTTCACCTTGAAGAGCTGTAACTACAGACCCCCTATTGTCCTTCCCCTCAGCCCCTGGGAACCACCATTCTATTTCCTTTTTCAATGAATTTGGCTACTCTGGGTACTTCATATAAATGGAGTCCTGCAGTCCAGACATCCGTCAGTATGCTCAGGGCATTGGTCCATGACCCTCGCCCCTGCAGGTACCAAAATCCCTGGGTGCTCAGGTCCCTTGTATAAAACGGCACACTATTTGCGTGTAACCTACACACACCCTCCTAGCTCTAGGGGACTTACAGGTGACTTCTAATACCTAATACAGTGTAAATACTGTGTAAATAGGAGCTGGCATGCTGCAACTTCAAGCTTTGCTTTTTGAAACTTTCTGGAATTGTTTTGTTCCCTAAATATTCTCAGTTCACTGTGGTTGAATCTGCAGGTGCAGGGCCTGCGCATGTAGAAGGCCGACTGTGTTTGTCTTTGTGATTAGCTCATTTTACTTAGCATAGTGGCCTCGGGCTCACCAAGTATGTGCTTTGCAAATATTTTTTTCAATCTATGCCTTGTCTTTCCAACCTCTTGAAATGGGCTTTAGCAAAAACAAGTTTTTTATTTGGATGAAACCCAGTTTATCAGCTTATTCTTTTATAGATTGTGCTTTTGGTATCATGTCTAAGAACTGTGATCTTGGGTTTTCTTTTGTATTTTCTTATAAAAGTTCCATACTTTCGCGTTTAGATTTATGAACCATGTTCAGTTCAGTTTCACATATGGTGTGAGGTTTGGGTCAATACTGAATTTTTTGCCCATAGAAATACAGTTGTTTTTGGCCTTGAACTTGAGGGTATTGTCATGTGTTGCTTTTGATATGCTGGAGTTTCAGCAGTAGTAATGTAAATAGGTAAACCTTTATAGCTATTAAATGAAAAATTTACTTAGCAAATGTTTAAGAAGAATTTGTAGTGACATAAATGAATTCTTCTTATAAAACAAAAAACAGGATATACATTTTTGAACACTGTATTTGTTGTTACTTTCGATGTCTGGAGTCTCTGGCAAAACATACTGGAAAATTATAAGAATGGTGTCCCTGGGTAGAGGGCTGGGTGTGTGAAGTGGAGGGAAGTTATTTTCAATTTGTATTCTTTTGGATCTTCGCCATGTGCATGAGTTTCCTCTTTTATAAAAAATAGGTTTACAAGGAGCTACATACGAAGTGTGAGTATAACTGTAAGTTTTTTAAAAAAACTCTTAAGGCAACATATGCGTTAAGGAGGTCTTGGAGGAAAAAATACATGAAGCTAATGAAAGTTGAGTCAAGAAATAGAGTTTTAGTTGTGCTATGTGTTGAATTGGGCAAATATTCATCCTCTGAGATGTTGCAGATTAAGGCACTTTTCTGTCATTTGCTACATCATCTTTGCTTTTGTTTCTTCTTTTTTTAATTGAAGTATAGTTGATTTGTATTAGTTTCCAATATACAGCACAGTGATTCATTTGTACACGTATATATATTCCTTTTCGTATTCTTTTTCATTACAGGCCATTACAAGGTGTTGACTGTAGTGCCCTGTGTTCTGCAGAAGGACCTTGTTGTTTATCATCTTTGATTCTGTGTTTCAGTGCCAAACCCAAGTCAGAAATCCACGTATCAATGGCCACTCCTGTCACTGTGTCTATGGAGACCATGGCTAATCAAAACAATGACCAGCCCACCATCGCCGTCCCACCCACCGCTCAGCAGCCCCCACCGACCATTCCAACCATGATTGCAGCAGCTAGTCCCCCGTCCCAGCCGGCGGTCGCCCTTCCAACCATTCCCGGAGCCGTCCCGGTCACTCCACCCATCACCACCATTGCCGCCGCCCCTCCGCCGTCAGCAGCTGTGGGTGGCAGTCTCTCATCCGTCTTGGGCCCTCCTGTACCTGAGATAAAAGTTAAGGAAGAAGTGGAACCAATGGACATCATGAGGCCGGTTTCCGGTAAGTTCACTCTCAGATGCTCTCTGTTGGCAGTGGCCCCTTCCCTCATCCACACCCTCCTCAGAGTCCAGACTCTCATGTGACCCTCAGCCAGGGAGTCTGACTCCTTGGTGCCCGTTTTTAAATCTGCATTTCATTCTTTCTTCATAAATAGAAAAAGTATTAAGCATCTTTGAAAACTAAATCCATTTTGCTGCCCTTTTATAATTAATTTTATCTCTTACAAAGTCATGAGAAAGATCATCATTTCAACAAGAGTATCTTTAAACATATCTTCTGTATGCATTAACTAAATGCTATCATGTTGAAGGGACTCAAGATATGGTCGTGGCTAAATGCTGATTAATTTATAGCTTATTCCCTACCGATTTTTGTTGCCTTGCGTATGCAGTAACGTAAGTTTGTTGAAAATCGTCTCTTGATGATCTTGTGACTAGTAAACTCTTAAACCTATTCATTACCTTTTCCCCCTCATCTTCTCAGCTCTAAACTTCCAGTTTGTGAAAGGCAGGTCACTTTGGAGATTCTCTATTTTGTTTTCTGGGTTTTTTAAATAATGTGTTGTGAAATCTTATCTTTCCTGACTACAAAAGTAACATTCAGGGTATGAAATTTGTGAAATACAGACAAAGCCAAAGTGGAGAGCAAGTTGCTTTGCACTGTGGTGGCCCCGTGCCCCCATCCTTGCCTCTCTGTGTGGAGGTCCCCATCTCCCGTGCCCCATGCTTAGTTAAGAGATGTGGCCACGCTGCATCTGCAGGTTTTAAACCTGCTGTTCATTCGTTGGCTGCTTTATTTCCATTTATGGTGCCTGCATTGTCCTCCTGTGGGACCCACATGTAGTCTCCGCACTTCCATGGAGAGGCACGGTGGATAACTTCGGAGGAGTGATGTGGTGGTCCCCGCCTTGCTGTGCGTCTGTCATTCTTGAAAGTTCCCCTCACCTCTCTCTGCAGGGAGCCAGCAGGAGTCCTTCCTCAGCCGCAGGCTCCGCACCAGACTTTGTTCTACCACAGTAGAATGAAAAAACAGAATCACACTGAAGGCACCGCCTTGTACAAAACAAACACACCTCCATCCTTGGGAGCTTATATTCTAGCAAGGGTGCCAGGCAGTGAAATACAGCTGGGGCCAAATATGAGGGAAAGCTAGGGCTAGAGCTGTGATTTTTTAAAGAGTTTAAAGGGAAAGCCCTACTCAGGAAAAGATCTTTGAGTAGGGACATTAAAGAGATGCTGACCACGAAGATCCCTGGAAAAAGAGCTTTTGAAACCAAGAGAGCAGGAAGTGCAGAAGCCTGAGATGCAGCCTGCCTGCCGTGCTCAGCGAGCAGCAAGGAGGCGGAGGCAGGAGAGCTCAGTACGGAGGGGGTGGCAGAGACAAGGTCAGAGAACCAGGGTCACGGCGGTGACAGCCTCTGGGCCACCGCCAGGACTTTGGCTTTGCCGAGGGTGGCAGGGGGACCTGTCATTAGAGGGTTTTGAGCAGAGGAGAGACATGAGGTCACCTCTCCTCTCAACAGAAAGCCCTGGCCGCTGTGCAGAAACACCGTGGGGACGAGGCTGGAGGTGGGGAGATGTGTTTTGAGACTGCTGCGTTACTTGCAGGGAGCGGGTGAAGGTTTCGGCCGGGGAAGTGGCAGCAGAGGTGGTTGAAGCAGACAGCTCCTGCATGGATTTCTGAAGCAGAACTGAAAGGATTGCCTTACAGCTTGGAGGCTGTGAGAGAAAGGCATTAGTGTCCACTGTGAAGTTGTGGCTCTTAGTGATGGAGGTGTCAGCTAAGGGGCAGGTTGCAGGGACGGCGTTTGTAGGTGGGGGGGGGGTTGCTCTGGTGAGCTCGAGGTGTCCGTCAGACCTCCAGATGGACTCACCAGGTAGGCAGTTGGATCCCTGAGCCTAGCTTTTCGAAGAAAATTAAGTTGCCAGTAGAAATTGGGGGGTAGTCATTGTATGTATGAATTATGTTTCAAGCCACGAGCTTGGATAAGATCACCGGAGGAATGAGCGCTGATAAGAAAGAAGCAGTTGTGAACTGAGCCTCAGGGCCCTGCACCATTTTGAGGCGGGAGCAGAGGCAGGAGCCAGCAAAGGAGACCGCATGGAGGGGCCGGAGTGACAGGGACAAAACTTGGAGTTGGTGATATTCTGGAAAGCCAGGACAGAAATACTACAGAGAAAAGGGTCCCAGCTGTTGAGACCAGTGAAGGTGAGGACCGAGCAGTGACTGATGGACTTAGCAACACAATGGTTGTGGAGATCTGGAGAAGAGCAGCTTCCATGTGATGGTGTTGGGCACAGCAGGGTGGGGAGTGGGTTCAAAAGAAAAATTCCTGGGAGTGGAGTATCAGAGACAGCACTTGAGGGGCTTGTTATAAAGCGATAGCAAAAGGAAGGGCACTCAGTACCCGGAGGGAAATGATGCCGAGAGGAAGTAGGATTTGTGTGTTCACGAGAGTGACAGAATAGGGCGGGAAGGCTTGGTGCTGCAGGGAGAAGAGATGAGAGTCCTGGAGCCGGGTCTGAGGAGGTGAGAGTGGGCGGGGCTCCACCTTCACTGAGAGACAGGAGATTCTTGGTCACCATGCAGGTAAGGCAGGTGCTGTATGTGGTGGGAATTTACGGCCGTTTCCTTCTGATTATTTCTGGGGTTTTTTTCTTCCAGTAAAGTAGAAAGCAGGGTCATGAGCTGAGAGTGAGGATGGTATTGGAGGTGTAGAGAGTGAATGACTTGGCAGACATGGGGGTCTGTCCAGCAGCAGCGACGGCCCACCCGAGCTCGGTGAGCACGCTAACCTGAGCCCCATCAGCCCTGCTTCATGTCTTTCTCTGGTCCACCCCTCTGCATAGGTGCAGACTAGTTGGAGAGTTGGATTTAAGCTGTTGTCCTTTTGCTCAGTGAGCGCAGTGAAGCAAGAGAGGGGACAGTAAATGAGTAAAGCAAATCAAATTGATGGGAGAATTAAAACCCAGGGAGAGGAGGGAGGGGACGTTAGAGGGATGAGAGACAGCAAAATAGTGGTGTGATTACTGGATAATAATTTCTGATGGGGTCAAGGAAGTGTTGGAGGTGAGTTACTGAGAGGAGTGACCTGGAAGGGTGGTTGGTTTGGGCTGGAAAGTCAGATGCTGGAAGCTGAGATGTGATGACGGGGCTTAGGGTATGACTATGGGGAGTGGGTGGCCGAGGAGCATGTGGAGGGAAAGGATGGGCCCGGATGCGGTGCAAGAGTTGAGGCCTGAACACACATTGTTGACTTCATCCTAAGAATGCCGTCTGTCTGGAGGCAGTGGTTCAGGAGTGCAGTCTCCGAGGCCAGCCGCCTCCATCCGCCCCCAGCTCACCTGCTTCCTGCCCGCGCAATTTGTGCCGCGTTTTCTCATCTTTTCAGCTGGCGGATAATAGAATGCCTGCTTGCTCAGATTATTTGTAAGAGTATATAAGATCATGGGCTATCGCCTAGAAATTAATGCTCAGAGGCTTGAAAACTAGTGGCTTGAACATGGAAGCTTTTGTCATCTCCCTTGAAGCAGATCCTGAGGCAAACAGTCCAGAGATGGTATGTGGACTCCATAAAATTATTAGAGATCCAGGCCCCTACTACCCTCAGCCTTTGACCCTCGTGCTCCTGATTCAAGATAGCTGCTGGAACTCCAGCTATCTCATCTGAGTCCCAGGGGCACCGAAAGAAGACAAGTGGGTCATGCCTTCTTGCTTTTAAGGAAACCTCTTGAAAATGCTACAGAGCACTTGCATTTGCATTGCAGACGGCCATACCTGACTGTGAGGGAGACTAGTAAATGCAGTTTCCGCTGGGTTGCACGCACCCATTTCCCAGGAGGGCTCCTCACTTGTGCTAAGGAGGGTGGAGCTGAGGTGTTAGGAAACCATTGGCAGCCTCTGCCACAGTTAGGGTGCTTAGCACTGTGCTGGGCACCTGGGAGGACGCAGTCAGTGTTAGCTTGCCTTCCTGTCAGTCTTCCACATGGATGGACACCATTGACGCTCCCCACGACGTGTGTGGGTTCTCACACGCGTGCACACTCTTCTCCCTTGACAGCAGTTCCTCCCCTGGCCACCAACACCGTGTCTCCATCCCTCGCGTTGCTGGCTAACAACTTATCCATGCCGCCGAGTGACCTGCCGCCGGGCGCCTCCCCGAGGAAGAAGCCACGCAAGCAGCAGCACGTGATCTCCACGGAAGAGGGGGAGATGATGGAGACCAACAGCACCGACGACGAGAAGTCCGCTGCCAAGAGCCTCCTGGTGAAGGCCGAGAAGCGCAAGTCTCCTCCCAAGGAGTACATCGGTAATGCCCGCTCGGCCAGCTGGGTCCCCGGACCTCCCCCCACAATGCAGTCCCGCCGGAGATGTCCCACCCGGGGCTGTGTCCCCGCCGGAGCGCACCTGCAGGGGCCGTCCCGGGGGAACTGCTGCAGATGGGTAATAAGCTGTTCAACACCTTCTTTTTCTTCTCTCTTGAATAGATGAAGAAGGTGTGAGGTATGTCCCCGTGCGTCCAAGACCCCCCATCACTTTGCTCCGCCACTATCGGAACCCCTGGAAAGCTGCTTACCACCACTTCCAGCGGTACAGCGACGTCCGGGTCAAAGGTCAGTCTCCCCAGAAATGTCCGGTGTTCATGCAGGTGGCTGGTCTTCCAGTGGGCTGTATTGAAACCACAGTAGAATAAAAAGACAGAATCACAGTTTTCCAGTTTCAAAAAGAGCCATAAATTTTTGTTATAAAATCTTGAGACTTTAGCAGGGGAGGGTAGAGCTCAGTGGTAGAGCACATGCTTATCAAGCAAGGTCCTGGGTTCAATCCCCAGTACCTCCAATAAAAACAAACGTGTAAATAAATAAACAAACCTAATTACCTCCCCCGTCCAAAAAAAAATAATAAAGTGAAATCTTGAGACTTTAGTGTTTAACTTAAGCAAAATATTCAGTTGAGTATAAAATTTGGAAAATCATCCTTTGCCTCAGAAAGCTGTGTGCACTTTTATTGGACACTCAGTCTAGGGAGTAAGTGACAACATTGCTTTTAGTTAAGTTCATGTGTTACCAGCTCCCCAGGTGGTGACAGACGACCTCCTTAGCCCTTAGCCCCTAGAGTCGTTGGGGAAGAGCCCACTAGATTATTTGAAGCAGTCCACAGTAGTCCCTTGGATGCTCAGATATACAGGTGTCATAAGCCCCAGGAAGTTTATTTTCCAAAAGACCTTTTGTTTAACATGTGTGAAGCTCTTGGAATGGTCCAGGGCAGGCGCTAAGTAAATGTTTCTATTGTTAAGCTTGAGAATAACATCCTAATAAACCCACACACATGTGATAAAAATGGCTAATGGTACCTTGCAAATATCTGCAACTATTTCTATGGACTTTGTACCATTAATCTCAGGTATAATTGTTTGCACAGAAAGTTTATGTTTTCAGAGAATTGGTCATGTTTCCCGTTCCCTCATATAAACTCTACTTGGAAACTTCTCTGAGGGTTTCCTTGACCCTCAAGATGAGTCTGAGTTGGATGGTACTGACTCGTGCCTGTTAGCAAGAGTGAAAGTCCTGGCGGTTCAGTCTCTGGACAGAAGCACAGAGGGGGCTGCACTGCCCAGCTTTTCTTCCTCACAAGTATACCCCAAGCTTTGAAAAGAGGGCGGGATTTCACACCCTCTTTGGTTTGGCAGAAGCAGGACCTGAGCCGCTAAACATCTCTCCACACCACGAGAATTCCATCCTAGCAATAAAATACTTACAGTTTTCCCTGGTGACACTTTAAGCCATATTAGAAGGTTCTTACTGCTTATTGGGACTCATTCTTCAAGAGCTGTCTCAAGAAAGATAATTTGACAGCTGAAAATATTAGTAATTCCTGAATCTTCTCTTTGGATATGTACGTATTTATCACCTTGTGCCAAGTCTTTTTTTTTTTTTTTTTTTTTTTTTGGTGGGCAGGAGGTAACTTGTTTTATTTATTTATTTATTTTTAGAGGAAGTACTGGGGATTGAACCCAGGACCTCATGCATGCTAAGCACAGACTCTACCACTGAGCTATACCCTCCCCACCTCCAAGTCTTTTGACTATTAAACTTTAATTGAACTGCTTTGGCTGAACTTTAAAGTCATATTCATATAAAGAAATCAGGATGGAATTCTAAAAACAGGTAATTCACAGGAGGGAAAGAAGAGAGGAAAAGGGAACAAGAAGCACAGGAAACAAACAGAAAACAAGTAATAACAGGGCAGACTTAGCTTTACATGTCAGTAATGACCATAAACAAAAATAGTCTGAATATACCAGTTAAAGTACAGATTGGCAACAGATGCTGACGGAAATGTGGAGAAAAGGGAACCCTTGTGCACACTTGGTGGGAATGTAAATTGGTGCAACCACTGTAGAAAACAGTGTGGCGGTCTCTCAAACAGCTAAAAATAGAATTACCATCTGACCCAGCAATTCCACTGCCAGGAGTGTTCTGGAGAAAAGGGAAACACTAATTTGAAAATGCACCCCAAAGTTTATAACAGCATTGTTTACATTTGCCAAGACATGGAAGCAACCTAAGTGTCCATCAACAGATGACTGGATAAAGAAGATGTGGTGTGTATACACAATGGAATACTTCTTAGCCATAAAAAAGAATGAAAGTTTGCCATGTGCAGCAACATGAATGGACTTGGAGGGCTTATGCTAAGTGAAATAAGTCAGACAGAGAAGATAAATACTATATGATATCACTTATGTCACAGATACAGAGAACAAACGAATGGTTACCAGTGAGGGGAGGGGGCAGTAAAGGGTTAGGGGAGTAGGAGGTACAAACTGTTGTGTGTAAGACGGGCTCAAGGATGTATTGTACAAGATGCAAAATATAGCCAGTATTTTGTAATAACTGTAAATGAAAAGTAACCTTTTAAAATTGTACAAAAATTTAAATTTTTTTTAAAAAACACAGATTGGCAGAGAGGATAAAAAAAATAGTTCCAAAGTTCCAACTATATTCTGTCTCTGAGAAAGTTCAGATACACTATATGGATAGATTGACAGTAAGAGGATGGAAAAATATATACAGTGCAAAAATTAATCAAAAAACAAGAGTGGCTATATTAATATCAAATAAAGTAGACTTCGGAGGAAGGACAGTTACTAGAGACAAAGACACTACATACCAGTTAAAAATATATAGGCAACAAAAACCAAGAGCTTCAGAATACATGAAGCAAAAACAGCTGAAAGGAGTGATAGACAAACGTGCAGTTATAGTTAGAACGTCAGCAGCTCTTGGCAGTTGGCAGAAGTGCCTGACAGAAAATCAACAAGGATATAGAAAAGGAAAGAAGGAAGGAAGCCAACCAGCATCACGCAGACGTTTGCAGAACACTTGAACAGCAGCAGAACACATGCTCTGTGCACTCAGGACAGGTAAAGATGGACCACACTCAGAATCATTAACCTCAGCAGATTGGGAAGAATTGACAACACATACAGTATCTTCATTGACCATAATGGGAAACAAACCAGAAATCAGTGGCAGAGCAGTAACAGGAAAACCTCCAAGCCATGAAAGTTAAACAGCACACTTCTGCATAACTGGTCAAAGAGGACATCTCAAGGGAAATTTTTAAAAATACTAAAAACCGAATGAAAATGACAAAGAAGAGCAACATAAAGCAAGGACGGGAAGAAAATAGTAAAGGAAGCAGAAATCAGTGAAATTGGAAACAAAAATAATGAAATCAGTGAACAAAGCGAATTCTTTGGAAAAAATTGGTAAAATTAATAAATCTTTAGCAGGACTGATGAAGGTAAAAGAAGACATGAATCATGAGTATCAGCACGAAACAGGACATTACCACAGAGTATGCAGCCATTAAAAGCATAATAAGGAAATACTACAAAGTTGACCACTTAGATGAAATAGACCAATTCCTTGGAAAATCAAACTACCAAAACTCAACCAGAAACAGACAATCTGAATAGTCCTATAACTATTAAATCATTTGAATCCATAATTTAAAATCTTCCAAACAGAAATCTCCAGACTCAGATACTTTTACTGAGAAATTCTGCCAAACATTTAAGGAAGAATCAACACCAATTTTCCTGATGCAAGAATGAGACAGAGTACAAAGATAGAAAGCTACAGATCAATATTCCTCAATGAATACAGAGGCAGAAATCCTTAACAAAGCGTTAGCCAATTGAATCAAGCAATACATACATAGAATTTTACACCTTGATCAAGTGGGATTTGTTACATTGATGCAAGGCTAGTTCAGCATTTGAAAGTCAGCTTAATTCACTGTTATTAATAGGCTATATAGAGGGGGGAGGATATAGCTCAATGGTAGAGGGTGTGCTTAGCATGCACGAGGTCCTGGGTTCAATCCCCAGTACCGCCATTAAAATAAATGAATGAATAAACCTAATCCTCCCCCTCAAAAAATAGGCTGTATTAATTTCTCAGGGCTGCTACAACAGAGAACTACGAACTAGACAGCCTAAAACAACAGGTTTATTTTCTTACAATCCTGGAGACTGGGAGTCCAAAAATCAGAGTATCAGCAGGATCATGCCGTCTTTGAAGACTGTAGAGGAGAGTATTTCCTTGCCTCTGGTCATTGCCAGCAACCCTGGGTATTGTTTGGCTTGCAACCACATTACTCCAATTTCTGCCTCCATCTCCATGTAGCATTTTTCCTCTGTGTTTCTTGACTCTTTGGCTTTAGGGCCAACCCTAATTCAGTATGGCTTCTTCTTAACTTGATTACATCTGCAAAAAGACCCTCTTTCAAATAATGTCACATTTGCAGGTACCAAGAGTTAAGACTATAACATACCTTTTGGAGAGAGCAGTTCAATCCACAATGAAAGCAGAAGAAGAAAAATCACATGATCATATCAATTGATGGCAGAAAATTTCCTTGACAAGATTGAGAACTTTTTCATGATAACATCTCATAAATAAGAAAAGAGGAAGACTGCTTCAACTTGATAAAAGATCTGCCAAAAAAAGAGAGAGCTAACATTGTATTTAATGGTGAAAGACTGAATGCTTTCTACCTGGGATTAGCAAATAGACGAGGCCAAGGCTGTCTTCTCTCACGGCTCTTACTTAACATAGATATGGAAATTCTAGCTAGCCTGGAAAGCAAGAAAAAGAGATAAAAGGCTGTACAGATTGGAAGGAATAAGTAAAACTGTCTCTATTTGCAAATAAAATTATTGTCTACACAGAAAATCTCAAGGATTATACCCCAGAAATCTCTGGGAACTAATAAATAATTTCAGCAAGGTCACAGAATATGATATCAACACACAAAAATCTACTGTATTTGTAGAAACCTGGAATAAACTTGTGGAAATGTACTGAAAACATACTATCATTTATAATTGTCTCCCCAAAATGATATACTTAGGTACAAATCGAGCAAAACACATACAGGACACATTTACTGAAAATGGCCAAATGCCAATGAAAGAAATGAAAGAAGATCTAAAGAAATGAAGAGACCTACAGCATTCACCGTAGGAAGAACTCAACATAAAGATGTCACTTCTCCCTCGATTGATCGATAACTTTTACTACAGTTCCTACCAAAATCACAA